ATTAAACACTGGATTGTTTATTGTATTTATTTATTTATTGTTTTATTTATTTTCTTTGACATTTAGCAAAAAAATCTTTTAATTAAAATATTTATCCTTTGGAATTTGCTTGTAAACTTTATTTATAGTTAAAATGCCTTAGAAAATGAAAAGCTATCTTCAACTGAAACACAGTTGATGTAATGGATGTTTTTAAAAAATTGACAAGAGTTGCAAAATTTTCGGAAGTGTAACAAAATCTTAATTTTCTTGCACTGAAAATAAATGTAGAAAGAAAGAAGAAAATTAGGGAGAAAAGTAAGCAAAAATTTGAAGGGGAATTTGGCTGTCAGAAATACCAAGGTGTTTCAAAAAGTTGGACGCTTTTGAATATACTTTCAGAATACTTCAAGGAATTTGGGTGTTCAAAGAGAAAACATTTGGACGTGTAACCAGCAAATACCATCAATTGAGCTTGTGATAACGGAAAAGACAAAAACGATATCATTGCAGATTAAAGTGAAGAGCGACTGGTTTTTGACTATATGTTTGTATAAATTTAAATTATGTTATAGAACATCATATCACCATAAACGAAGAATCCCATGATTTCTTAGTCGAATTGTTTGAATATTCAGGAATTTATCCAGTGATGTATGTATGTGGATGTCACCTAAAGACATTTTCCTTCTTGATGAAACCAGTCTTTCCTTTCATCTCATGCCTTCAAAATGCTTAGTCTCTAAAGACTTGTATAGGTTCTGACCAAGTACAGATGAAATGGATTGAACTGGATTAAGTACAGATGAAATGGATTGAATTGGTTTATTAAGCTACGGCAAAGCAGGGCTATCTGCTTAAAAGTAGGGATGCCTTCGTGAAGAAATTTCTAAGGAAAACCAGCTGGCATACACGTTACAAAGAGAAAAACCACGAAAACGCCCATGCAACCAGCTTGTTCGCCGAAATTCGAACCCCGGAGCAAACTACTAGTGTTCAGCGACTTTACGGCTTGGTCATTTGTGGGCCTTTATGAAATGGAAGGCGATAATTTTATTTAAAATGAATGTCAGAAATACCAAGATGTTTCGAAAAGTTAGATGCTTTTTAATATACTTGCAGAATGCCTAAAGAAAAAGAACAAGCCATTAAAAAGAAAGAATAAATTTTTGCATAAAATTTTGTATTTTTATTATTTAAATTTTTTAAAGTTTATAATATTTGATTCTTGCGCTTTCAAAAATAAATTATTTGGGAAAATATGAATAACATTTTAAGAAATTAAATGTAGGATGATTAAATTGTGTAAAGCAATGGGTACAATGATAAAACTGTTTTAAAGTAATATATGTGAGTCATCCGAATTTTGAATAAAAAACTCTTAATTTTTTGCAGGTATGCTTAAAACCACATCTACTTTAAGATGATGATAAAAATTTTATAGTTTATAATTCAAAATGTTTTTTGTAAAATTTATAAAACTTATTTAAAAATAAAATTTTAAAATAAACAAAAAAAAAAAAAAAAAAAAAAAAAATGGCTGAATTTTATTTGGAATGAACCTAAATTTCAAAATGTGAAAGGAAGAATCAAAAAAGTTTATTAAAAAAAAGAGATATTAATAAATATATGCCCAAATTCAATTATCATTGAGGAGCTAATTTTTTAAAAACTACTCGTATGATTTTTCCAAAACTTGGCAGCCTGGCATAATTGAAGTCGTGGAATCGAAATATGTAAAAATATTGGTACGTTATTTCAGAAAAGTCCGATTTTATATCAAAATACCTATGATAGAATAGTGCTATATATAAATCTAATATATATCTTAACTCGTGCTTTCGAGACATGAAAAACGCAATTTGAATTTTGTCAATCGGCCCAGTAGAACGGGAGATATAGAACTGTCTCATTTTTAAGTTTAAATGTCGGTTATACATCTTTCTCATTTACATATCTTTTCTGAATGGAACATATTAAAAGGCGTGTTAACTGTGCTTTGCTGTATTTTCACTTTTAATATATTCAGTTTTCAGATGCACTGTTGTCTGGGACACAAAATATTCTTCCGAAAGAACTGCAATTCAAATAAATAAGATCAAATCCTGAAAAATTTATATTAATAAATATATTTAAATTGCTCAGTTCGAATGAATAAATAGAAAATTTTAAAACAATTATCTGAAGAGACAATGCGACACAAACATTACTACAAACATTATACAAACATTACACAAACATTACATTACACAATTACCTAAAATTTAAAAATAAAAGTCTAAAAATTTAAAAATTACCTAAAATAATAATTATGACCAAAAAATTATAAGGAAAACTATTTGAAAAAATATAAACGATGCACCTTTTATTTAAACTTCTCAGTTCGAATGGGTAAATAGAAATTTTTAAAACAGTTATTCGAAAGAAACCATGCAACTTAAACAATTAAAATGAAATTTGGAAAAGAAAAAATTACTTAAAATAATAACAATTATAATTAAAAATATAATATGAAGAACACTATTTGAAAAAAGGAACAATTGGCACTTTTTTTCCGCTCACGGGAAAGGAAAATAGGTTGACATATATTAAGAAGTTTGCCAAGTGAACTATTCTTTGTACAAACTTAAAAAAAAAAAAGTGGCAACATAAATTTGTGAACTTCTCTGTAAATTTCGCACCAAATTTTACAAAATTTCATATTTAGGGATAATTTGAGTCACAGGTCTGAAAAGGTCTGATTTTGTGTCAAGATAATTAGAAATCTAATATATATCCTAAGTCACACTTTCGAGACATGAAGAACGCAATTTGAATTTCGTCAATCGGCCCAGTAGAACGGAAGATATAGAACTGTCCTATTTTTTCTTTTGCGCAGTGTACATGATATGTAGTCTAGGCTTTTTTTATTCCTAAAAGTCGGATTACTTTAATTTGTAGTAAAAATTATTTATAGGGTCATTTTCAGTTGACTGTTGCATATGCATAATTTTGTTATTTGTTTCTATTTTATTTTCATTTTGTAGTAGTTTCAGAACTGGAACTATTTTTTTTTAAATAATTCTTTAATTATCAGTTTTCAGTAACTATGAAAAAAATTATCTGGGATCTATTATCTATCATCTGGGAATTATAGACATTTACTGCCTCCCAGTATCAAAACAATTTTTGCATAATTCTGTATTTAAAGAAGCACGGTCCAGACGATATATTGGTTAGGGGAGCCAGGTGCTATATTACAGGACCCGGGTTTGAATCCGGGAGAATGCATGGTTGTAACTTCTGTCCTTTCATAGGATGCAAAGATAGCCCACCTAATAGGTGCCTTCTTAATAAAGTGACCACCACTTCTGGCCTTAATAGTGACCAAGCCAAAGCCGGCTGAGGACCCGCTATTTTGGGGTGGGGAAATAGCTCTGCAGCTGAAAGTACACTTCTGGGAACAGTATTAACCCTTTGACGCGCGCGATATTATTTTTATAATTTTTTTAACTAAAAACTCTAGAAATTGAATATTATGATCCTTAACACAAATAATATATGAATTTAAAAAAATCTACTCTTGCCCATTGTTTTGTGGGTGGTGGTCGCACTGTGAAACCACCGCGCAGCTAGGACTTTGAAACTTACCTAGGTAGTAGGGGGAAAAAACTTCCCTTTTTCCGTGCGCGTTTCCAACAAATAACGAAATTTATGATTTTTTTTAAAAAATGCCTATAAGAATTGCATAATATATATTTTACATTATTTTACAAACTAAATCATCAAAAAAATTAAAAAATAAAGATTTATGTAATTTTTCTATAGCAGATGAAAGTATAAGTACCTATATAATAAGAACATTTGGCTACATGGATTAAAAAACTCAATAAAATAAGAATAAAAAAAAGACTGTGTTTTTTTTTTTTTTTTTTCAAAGAAGAAATATTTTTTATAGTTCAAAGCATGTTTTGTCTTTTTGGTACATGCATAGACCCACATTGCATGTTTCGCAAATGTATCTTCTTCTATGATGTTTCTTCCTTGTGCTACAAAATGTACACAGATTAGATCTAAATTTCACCGGTATATGTCCAGCGTTATTTAGTTTCTTTTCATCTGGCACATGGCATTTGTGGTTTTTTATGTTAATGGGGGGGGGGTGGTCCTTTTTGGCTTTGATACGGATCATTCCCATTCATACTTATTTTATTCGTATTTCGTCTCAAAATATTCAGAAAATATTTTTAATTTAAATAAAACTTTATGCGATTTCTATTTTTATTATAGCAAGTATATTTACATTAAATTTAAACCACAGGAAATAATTTATAAAATCACAATACTAGCTTGGGGAGCAAGTGTGTTGAGTCAGAGAAAAGTCTCTGGAAAAGAAAGACTTTTTACTGGGCAGGTCGTGTATTGTTTAGTATAAAATAACTCTGTGATTTCAAAATCCCTTATCTATATCCGGGTAAAAATAAACATTTCTATTTGAGAAGCAAACAAACGCCATTGTGAAGAGCAGTGGTTTCAAGGCGCGATCACAGAGCCTTTAGAGCACTGTGACACAATACTCTAGTGGGGCAGTGGTCGCGCCCTAAAACCACATAGAGTTTTTTTATATATATGCAGTTTAATTATTGTTACTTTTTATTGTTTATGATATAAGTCATGATGTGTGATGAATAACTTTTGAAATTTAAAGTTGTTTATATTAATAAAAGGAAGTTATTTTGTCTCATTGAAAATGAATTTTAAAAGGCATCCGATTTGAAGTACTAAGACCTAAAAAATGTATCATACTGTAGTCATTTTGTGTTATTTAGAGGTCAAAGATCAGTAATCAATTGATTTTCACTCAAAAATTTCAGAAGGAAGAGGAGAAAAAAATTCGAAAATTGGTGGTTTCAGGGCACGACCACCACGCGTCAAAGGGTTAACGAGAAAAGCATGTAGTCCCCTTCCATTAATACCCTGTATAAAGTTTTGATAGGTGTTTATTTTAAAGTATTTTTGTATTAATTTATTTTCTTTATTAGGTGGTGCAGTCATGGAAGATGGAGATGGTATTGATTTAGTCCAGCGCTACTGCCCTCTGACGGATGTCTGGTCTGACATGGCTTCCATGCTCATTGCAAGATCCGGCTCTCGAGCCTGTGTGGTGAATAATTTGATTTATGTGATAGGTTAGCTTTTCAAAATTTAGATTTAATTTGACAAAATTCAGATTTAATTTCCCATTTAATTTGGCATCAAAATAAAATTAACTGGTTATCTAAATGCAGTTAATGGCTTATAAATTGAAATCATGGCTAGAAAATTTACTTGTAATCAATTTCTAGCCAGTGGGGTGATGAATTTGATTTTTGCAATAAGTTAGCTTGGTACCTCTTCATTTTTATGCCCTCCCTGTTGTTAAATGCCACCAAGAATAGCAATCAATTGCCAGTGATTGTCCTAATGTAGAGTACTTATGTTTGGCAAAATATTGTGCATGCACCATTTGTTTAGACCAATGGTTCTAAACCTTTTTTTTGCTACATGCGAGACATGTTTTTCACCTTTGCTAAGCGATCATCCCCCCCTTCCTTTCCAAAACTCTAGAAATGCATATACATTTATTTAAATATGAATTATTTTTTAATGTGTTTTGTAAATTTACAAACAAAAAGTATAGAAAATGCTGATAATTACCAAAATTTAAATAAAAGTAAATTTTTACATTCATAAAATAAAATTAAATACTTAAAAAGTAAATAAAAGACTGATCACATTCCCTCTCATGAAACCATGAAGTTCTCCCTAGAAGTAATTCTGCTCTGGTTGAGAACCCTTGGTTTAGACACTGCAAAAGTAAACTTTTGACCTAATGCAGAAAAGATAAGAATAGTTCAATTTGAATTAATTTTAAGATGTGAATTGCAGTTCTGCAGTTTGATTACTGCTCTGTACGATGTTGTTTATTTTGCTATATAATTTCAATAGACTTGTTGTATTTACCATTATTTATGATTGGTTTGAAAGAGTTAATTAATTAGTTCACTCATCAGGAGAGGAGCTCTGAGTAGACTGGTATTGAGTGTTCCCGCCCCGCCCCCCCCCCAAAAAAAAAACTGATTTACTGATGATTGAGGAAGCTAAAAATTGTGAGTAGCCTGTGTTTTAATTTCTTTTCTTTCTAAAAAGGGAAATATTTTTTGAAAATTTTTGATTTGCCAACAGTTGAGAAAGATACTACATCATTCTTTTGAGAAAGAAGCATTTCATCACTTATTCGAATATGCAAAAATGGTCATGATATGAAACTGTAAAAAGGAAAGCCTTTCGAGGTGCAACATAAAAAGTTACACGCAAAAAGGAAAGAATATTTTTTTTAGAGCTGGTTCGTTGGCTCCAGAATATGGTTTGTAACAGTGCTGCAATTTTGAGGAACGGATGTCAATTTAAGTGGTGCGAGAAGGAGCGTCTTAAAATTGTGTATGAAAATGTAGGAGTAGATAGACATAGAATCCAATAGAATACTTGTAACTGGGAGATAAATTAACCGAAATAAGAACTGAAAGGAAAAGCAAGTATTCTAACCCATGATTTTAAATACAAAATGTATTATATATTAAAATAATAAATAAACAAGAAATATTTTTTAAAAATACAAAATAGAGAATCTCATGGTCATTTTTTAGATATTTTTAGGTGGATTGAAATATTTTGAGATTGATTCTCTTACTCAGATAACTCTGTGTGTCCTTTTTTTTTTCTCCCCGCCCCACCCAAATTAACTCTTTTCATTAAATACACTTTTCACGTATTATTAGCCTTAACATAGACTGAGTGATTAAGACCTCTGAATGCTGGAAGTTCGAATTTGGTCAAATGGGCCAGCTGAATGGTTGTTTTTCATGGTTTTTCCCATGTGTAATGCAAATACGAGCCAATTTCCCTTAGAATGTCCTCCAGGAAAGCAATCAGCTTAAGCAAATAGCCCCAGTGAACATTACCATACACAGTTAACCTAATCATTTTTATAAACAATTCATGAATATGAAAACGACTATCTAGTAACGTTCTCTTTACCACTGCAAATATACAAAAACAACTTTTTCTATTTAGTTACCTTTCCTATGTAGAGAATACCCATAAATAACTTATCACTGTATGTCTAACCTTTATGGGGCATATTCCATTTTTTAAAATTAATTATTGTTCTGCCAACACCATTGCAAGATGCATCTGCACATTGTCCTTGAGAAAAGACTGTTTCTTGAGCAGTCTTTTCTTCCTCACAGCTTCATATAAATGGTTTCTCTGTTTACATAATAGTCGATGTTCGCTGTCTGCCCATGAGTATGGGCTGAATTTCTAAAATTAGATATGTAGGAGTTCCACAGCAGATCATCTGGAAAGGCTTACAAAAATAAAATAAATAATGTAATAATTAAAATTGAATAAAATATAAAGAAATATCTTAAATAAGGTAAATTAATGACAGATACTTAAATAATAACTTTAAACACTTATTCTCATTTTATTTGGGGCTCCAGCTGAATTAAGACCTGTGTTGGTGTGTTGTATTGATTTACAAAACCTACTGAAATATGTTTCATCATTCACTTGCATATTACTTATCCCACTTAAAATGTTTCTATCATTGAAATATTGAAGCATGATTAAATAATTTATCACCATACTCGTACTATAACTTTGCAAGTCTTTCATTATACCAGGAATACTTTCTAAGAATCGTAGCTGTGCCATATAATCAAGAAGGGTAACAAACTTCTTTAAAAAAAGTTAATGTCTAATTAAAATGCATGGAAGAAAGCTGACAAAATTTTACAATTTCTGTAAATTTTTTATGAAGTTTGTTTAGTTTGGCTTTTTATACTCATTTCTGTCACAGAATAAAATCTTGAGTAAGTTCTTCATTTAACTAAAAACAAATTGTATCTGCTAGTAAAAGAGTTTACTAACATATTAACAAACTCTTTGTGCACATTTTAGAATTTCAAGTTTAACAGTTTTAGAGTACTTTGTCAAAAGAAAACTGGCTTGATTACAAATTTAGTTTCCATTAACCGAATTTTTGTTTATTCTTGTTAAATGCAGCACACATATATTCATCGAGAGATTTGTGAATCCATGTGAGTTTGTTTAAAGTCATTTTATCTTTCTCCAGCAATTTCAGATACAGCACTCACACATTCAAAAGGGCCACAAGAAAGAACTTAGAAGTTCATGTGAATTATTATCCTACCTATAAATGCAAACAAGTATTTGAAACTTTTCCCATTTTTAACTATTTTTAACCATTTTTAATTTCCTATTTAGGAAGTTAGCAGCTGCACAATAAAGCATTTAAATCAAGTAATGTTTAAAGTTTTGTGCATATTGCATTAATTGTCAGTTTGTGCTAAGATATATTTTCTTTTTGCCTTCTTTGTAAAACGTTTGTTTACATTTGTTGCCTTCCATTTCAGGTGGGTGGCATGCTTCTACAGAAAACACAAATAAAGTTGAATATTATGATCCTGCAAAAAATGAATGGAAATTTTGTAAATCTATGTTAGAGAAACGCTTTCAACCAGGTGTTGCTGTCGTAGAAGGAAAAATTTATGTATCCGGTGGTGAAGAAGGATGGGATAAGTAAGCATAAGTTAATTTATTCCTTCAGTGTAGCAAATAAGATAATACTTCTGTTTCATTTAGCAGGTGTGTTTGTGGTTGGGGTATAGCCAGAATTCCATATTTTAATTTTTCCACAGTAGCATAGCTGGGGGGGGGAGCATCCAAGGGGCATTAAAATAATGTTTCAAAATTTTAGAATGAAATGCTTTCCATTCTTGGCAAGTAGGATGGAGTGCAAAATCTTCATTTCTCCCTGGGCTTTGAAAACTCTAGCTAAGGCTTTGCTTTCTCAAATCCACAATTTGAGGATTTGTGTAATGTAGATTCATTATTTTTCTCAAAATTGCTTTCAGAAAAATGTCATTTAGAGATTATATAAATTTAAAATTTCAGAATACTTAGAGAAGTCAAACAGGAACTGAAGTATTCAGGCTTAAGATGGAAAGTGTAATTGACAAAACTGATTAAATTTGCTTCCATGTACTTGGAAATTTATTTCATTCAGTCATTCGGACAATTAGTTTTTCTTATGCTGTAAAGTTATTATGCTGCATGTTTTACACAGAAATAGGAGACTGATATTGTAGTATTTTGGGCTGAAATATTCAAGCTAAGAGATAGAAAGCAGAAATATTAAGCATTGACAAAACTGATTAAATTTGTTTTAATTTACTTCCATGTACCCATTGACTACTGATGGAGAATGGCGACAACATCTATTTACCATAGGTTAGTCAGTTTTGCCTCACATCCACCAGATTTAGAAGTTAAGTTCAGTTAATGTAGCAAATAGCATCCTTCCTTAATTAATTTGATCCAGCTTATTGTTTTTTGAAGACTATTATTATTATAGCTATCATGTCAAAATGAGTTTTTATTATGCTGGAAGAGATTTTCTATTTCTGGAGCTATATCAGGATCTGCAAAGATTATACCAGGATCTATAGAGATCGGATCACAAGAGCTATATCAGGATTTTCAAAACATAAGACACTGTAAAGTACATGTAGACTTATATTTAAATTTAGCCATTTAAATAATACAGTACAAAGTCTGAAATCCGGACGTCCATTATCCAAAATGATCTAAAATCCAGACCTCAAAGCCACAAACTTTTTTTTTTTTTTTTTTATTATTAATGCTTTATGCATACGCATTTGATTTTTCCTTCCATAATAAAACATGAAGATTTTCACTTGAAAATTCCAATTCTTAATTTCACTTAAGCACTAAATAATGGATGGAAAAACAATCATGTAAGCATAAATTTGTGAAATTAATCATTTAGCCCTGTAGCTGAGTATCTACTTTTTTATTATTGTATTTTGCTTTCATCACCACATGTTTATCAATACATGACATCTTCAGTAATAACTCATGCAGTGATGTCTAAACTTTTTTTATATTAGTAATTGAATAACAAGAGTATGACAACTTTTTATGCTAACATTATGCTTGGCGATGATTATTTAAAGAAGAAAGAAATGTTGACGAGGAAAAATTCAACAAAAATTTCTTTTCATATGCTAAAAATAGATTTTGTTAATGAAACTCATAGGCCAAAAGATTACATTTAGTGCTATTTTATTTTAATTAAGAATAACTGATATGTTATTCACCCTAAACCCGGAAGTGGCAGCAGAATATGTCGGCACCGGATGGCAGAATTTAGGGAAGACGAAATTTTTGGAATTTGGGGAAAGCACCAAGCAAAATTAAATTAATTAAATTAAATTAAGTTAATTTAATTAATTAAATTAAGGAAAGCAAAATTAAGGGATGAAAGGTTTTTATGATTTAGGGAAAGCACTGGGATCCAAAATTTAGGCACGGTGAAAATTTAGAATTTAGGAAAGCGCTTTGTAGCAGAATTTAGGACCCATAGAGACTGCACCAAGCAGTATCGAGTGCTGGTCCTAGATAAAGCCTTAACTTTATGTGGGAGTTTATTTTTTCAGAACTTAAATTAGTTTGAAGCATGTGCAAGAAATAAATGTAGGTATGGTAAATAACTAAACTAATACAATTTAGGCTTAATTCAAAATGCAATAAGAGCAAGACAAAATTTAGCGAAACAATTTGGTTTTCGTCGCCAATCTTGTGATACCCAGCCAATAATGTATAACAGATGCTATTAAGTTAGGCTAAAATTATGTTTACTGATTCTAAGGCATTTCAATTAATATAGCAGACTGTGCTGCTCCCTGATCTTCTAATTTGATCAAGCTTATTATTTTTTGCAGACTATTATTATTACGGAAATTTTATAGAAACTATAAGCTTGAACTTTTGATTATGTCAAAAAGAGTTTTCAACTCTGAAGTTTTCAAAGGATTTGCAAAGCAAAACCATGTTTTGATGTTCATTAAACAAAAAGTGGAATTGCTGCAAAAAATGGATAAAGGGATATTCGTCTCAAAATTATGGGAGGAGTATGGCATTGGAAAGTACAGTACAAAGTCTTTAATCCGGACGTCCATAATCAGGAATGATCTATAATCCAGACTTCAAAAGGTACAAACTTTCTGCGCATGTGTAAATGCAATGCATGCGCATATGCATTTATGCATAATACCTTTATGTGCATGTGCATTTACACATGCACGAAATGACACGGTAGGTACAAATGTATACTTTATTTAAAATATACACCATAGGCCTGAGCACAACAATGCCACTGATGAACAAGCCGCAGGATTCCTTGTTCGCAGAATTCCTGTGTCCATGACGAGACCCAGTTCTTCACAGCGTCCTTGAGTACGTCGTTTGAGTTGAAGCGCTTCCCTTTCAGATGTTTCTTCAGTGGACCAAACACATAAATCTTAGGGCGACAGTTCCGGACTGTAGGGTGGATGGTCCAAAGTCTCCCACTTGAACTTAGCCTGTTCCATGTGTATGACTCTGGAGACGTGTGAGCGCGCGTTATCATGGAGCAGAACCACACCCTCCGTGAGTAGCCCCGGTCTTTTGTTCTTGATGGACCTGCGTAGGCATCGGAGTGTCTCACAGTACACATCGGAGTTAATGGTTTTTCTGTGCTCGAGGAATTCCACAAGTAGCGGACCTTGAACGTCGAAAAAGATGATGAGCAACACCTTGCCTTCTGACGGCACGGCTTTGAACTTTTTAGGGGGAGGTGCCGACGCATGCTTCCACTGCATGCTGTCTCACTTTGTCTCTGGCTCGTAGTGATAGCACCAGGTCTCATCACCTGTGACGACCTGCTCCATGAAAGCGGGGTCTTCCTGATACCGAAACAGATGTTGCTGTGTTAGCCCCATACGCAGTTCCTTTTGCTGGTTGTTGAGCTGCTTCGAAACCCAAGCGGCACACACCTTCCAACGTCACAACCTGTCGTGAACAATTGTCCACACAGTTCCATAGCTTACATCCACCTTCACCGCCAACATTCGCAATGTGACACGCCGATCACTTCTCATTAGGTCGTCCGCCTTGTGGATGAGATCGCTCGTACTCCATTTTCTGACAGACTTGTCAGAGACACATTTCTCCCCGTAAACTGCCACCATTCGGTGATGAATAGCTGCCATTTTCTCACCTTCCGCTTTTGCAATGCGAACGCCATCCTGTCCTCATACGGAATGCGCATCATTTGGACACCGCTTTTGATAAGAGCCTCTGCTCTCCTGCGCATGCTCCTATCCCAGTTAGAGACTCCAATCACATGCCGAGATGTCTCGCTACGTTCTCCCATGGCGGAATATGCAAATATTTAACTGTTATGTTTTTACGTCGTTTTGTATCTTTTCATTTGATCACCCCTTGTACGTTTTAATAATATGCATAATGTATAATGGGCAGTATAAGGTAGGCTAAAATTATCTCATTATCTATTTCAGTTAATGTTGCAGATTGTGTTGTTCCTTAATCTTCTAATTTTATCTGGCTTATTAATTTTTACAGACTGTTAGAGCAATTTTATAAAAAGTAAGCTTGAACTTTTGATTATGTCAAAAAGTGTTTCCGATTCTGGAGCTGCCAAATGATCTACATAGCGAAAGCATGTTTCGATGCACCACTTTCGATAGTGAAGAAAGTGACAGAGAGGTTATTGAAAACGAAAAAATTTCGATTGACAAGTTAGTCGGTATTCTCGACACAGCAATTACAGGACTTGAACAGTGGAACTGAACAAGGAATTATGTCTGTCTATAGAATTAAAGAGAAAGTATTAGCATAAAAAATGAAGCAACTTAAACAACTTACATTGAAAGAAATGTTTAATAAAGTAAACAAATAAATATTAAGGTTTGTTTTTTTTTTTTTTTTTTTTTTTTTTTTTTTTTTTTTTTTTTTTTTGATACTCTTTAGATCATAATTGCTAGACTAGAAGAGAAACACGCTAATGTGACAATCAAAATCGTAAAAAACAACCTTGTATTTAGCGTAAGTATATAGAAACACTCAAATTTCTATATACTTACGCTAAATACAAGGTTGTTTTTTATGATTTTGATCATAACTGCTCTTTATTTCATAAATTATGGTCTCATATTTTTTATTTTATAATTTCTGCATGCCATCTTGCCAGATTTAAATTGATGATCTATAATCCGGAAAAACCCCTAATCGGGAATCGCCGAAGTCCCGACGAGTCCAGATTAAAGACTTTATACTTGTATATGACACAGGGGGAAAAAAAAAATAAAAATAAAAATAAAAATAAAATTTTTTTGGGGAAGTATCTTTAACAACTTGCATTGAAAGAAATGTTTAATAAAGTAAACAAATAAATATTAAGCTTTTTTTTTATGGTGTAAATTTTGTTACCCTTTAGATCATAATTGTTCTTTATTTCATAAGTTACGATTTTATATTTTTAATTGTATAATTTCTGCATGCCCTCTTACCAGATTTAAATTGATGATCTATTATCCAAAAAAATCCCAAATCCGGAATCGATGAAGTCCGGATTTCGGACCTTGAACAAATATATTCATAACAGAATAAGATAAGTAGAATACCGAAAACATTGTTTAAAACATATCGTATGATAGATTCATTTCACAATTTTTATCTCAATATAAGTAATAATACTTTTAATTTAAAACAATAATTTAAATAAAAATTGATTTCAGGCAGTGTTTTATCTGTGTGAAAGGAGTTATTGACTGCTAAGGTACAGAATGTGATTTTGCGCTTTTTATGTTCTAGTCAATATCCTGAGGGATTTACAATTTTTCTATTAGCAATCTTCATTTAAACAATTTATTGGAATTTATTATTTGACTATCAAATTTAATTATTTTATTTGTATTATTCAACTGTTTTATCTGTGTGAAATTTGAATGCATTAAATTCTGTCGTTTTTTAGAATGACAAGCTTTTATTGTAGACAATTTTGATCTGCTAAGTAAATAGGCCCCTTTTTTATAAATTATTAATACTTTCATAGCTGGTCTTCTAATGGTCACCACAAGAGGATTCGTTGTATTTAATTTGTTTCTAAAACAGAAAATGGAACATATATTTTCCCCTTGATAAATAGTATTCGAATATATAGATATATAGCTGCAAATAATAATGATATCTTATAAAAAATGATTGCCTTCTGTTACTTTTTTATTAATTTACTTTTATGCCATTGGGATTATTATTTAAATATAAAATTATTTTTAAACTTTTCTTTTAACGCTTTACCTACCGCTAGTGGTGCAACAGCATACGCACGTCCGACCGGCTGCTCAGCCACAGTTTCTCCCTGTTCTGAATAACTGTCAGAACAATCTGATAAATCGTGTAAATAAAACTGTCCAGTACCATTTTTTTCACTCATCATGAACGGTAAATTTTTTTAAAACGGTGTGAAAATGTGGAAGTTTACCAAGTAACGCACTTAACGCAAGCGAGCAATGTACACTGCTGAAATAAAAATGGGACAGTGCTATATCTCCCCTTCTACTGGGCCGATTGACAAAATTCAAATTGCGTTTTTCATGTCTCGAAAGCATGAGTTAGGATATATATTAGATTTATATATAGCACTATTCTATCACAGGTATTTTGATATAAAATCGGACTTTTTCTGAAATAACGTACCAATATTTTTACATATTTCAATTCCACGACTCCAATTATGCCAGACTGCCAAGTTTTGGAAAAATCATATGAGTAGTTTTTAAAAAATTAGCTCTCAAAATTTTAGCTCCTCAATGTTAATTGAATTTGGCAAATATTTAATAATATCTCTTTTTTATTAAAGTTTTTTTTATTTTTCCTTTCACATTTCGAAATTTAGAATTTTCACATTTCAAAATTTCAAATAAAATTTACCCATTTTTTGTGTTTTATTTTTAAATTCTATTTTTAAATAATTTTTATAAATTTTTCCAAAAAAAATTTGAATTATAACCTATAAAATTTTTACCATCATCTTAAAGTAGGTGTATTTCTAAGCACACCTGCAAAAAATTAGACTTTTTTATTCAAAATTTTCTAAGATATACACAAATTTACATATTTTCACATTTTGAAATTTGGCATTTTTTTTTAGTGGTAATAACGCCAAATGTGGTTTATGGATTTTTGCTACAGTGAATTGCCACAGCTATTTTTAACCTTAAATTTCAAATAAAATTTTACAGAGAATTAATTATATTAAATTTTTTCCCTCAATGATGCGTAATAAATATTTATTAATGCTATATGAAAAGCTATATTTTAAATTATAGATGATAGTATTCAAGTTTTAATTATTTTTTTTAATTTCTTTCTTCCTTAAAAAAAAAAAAAATATTTGTAAGAGTAAATTTTTATCTTCGGTGTTTTATCATCTGCTACTTTACTTTAACTTCCTTTATATCGAATTGTCTAAAACTGAGAACTTTTGTTTGATGTTTATTTGAATTTTATGAAAATATTTTATGATATTAACTGCATAATTTATTTCTAAACAAGCTGTTGCTTACGAAGTGGCTGAAAGAGTGTTTATTTGCACTTCAATTCTTACCGTCAGCTCTAGTAGAAGTTACAAATCAATTAAATTTAATTAAGGAATGACCATCTAAGTTTAGAAACAGCGTACCGTAACAGCAATTCAATTATTGGCGCTGTATCTTTCATGTTACTCCCGATTGGCAAGCTACATGATTTTTAATGAGTATTCGGGTTTTTTTAGTAACTTCACTTGGAAATCGCTCTTAAACTTGGTTAGTTGGTTACTTGAACATAGAAAGAACATGGGAGCTATTTGGTTAAGATGCTGTTATAAAGAACCTTTGTAAAGAGAACCTAGATAACTACGAAAACCAACCATGCAGCCTGGTTTGAACTTCGCAACAAACAATTAGTATTTAACAATCTTAAAATGCTAGGCAACTTCTGAGGCTCCAATTAAATCTCCAATTTAATATTTTATTTGTAAATATTTAAAATATTGTTAAATATTGTAGACACAAAAAGAAGAATTTAAGTTTTGTTAACTCATTGGTAAACAATCAAGCCGTAGTGCAAATGGATATTCAATTTCTTTTGCAATAATTGTATTCACTTAATATTCTTGGAATATGAGCTAAAGAAGGAATGTTCTCAGAAAATTAAAGAAGTGTTTAAATCCAGTGATATTAGGTTTGTCTTACTAATAGGATACTTTTCAGGATCAAAACAATTCTGCAATTATCCGAGTAGTTGACTTGTAAATGGCTGGGAATTAAGCAGATGACTTTTAATCTTACGTTATTCAGTCAGAAAACATATTCCAAATGTTTTGTATTGCATGACAATACATCTTTCCATTA